ATAATGTTTTGGACCCTTTGTATGTATGTTGTATTAGATTTGCTGGCTACTCCCCACAACTGAATACCATATGTCCATATAGGTTTCAGTACGGAGTTATAGATTAAAATTTTGTTGTCAATGCTGAGCGCAGAATTTCTACCCATCATCCAATTTAAACTTCTAAATTTGTGGTTGATTTGGTCTCTTTTTGCCTTTATGTGACTTTTCCATGTTAGTCGTCTATCAAGGTGGAAACCCAGGTATTTGACACATTCCGTTTGAGGTAATATGTTATTCTTCAGGCACACCGGGGGACAGTCTCCTTTTCGCAGTGTGAAGGTTATGTGGGTCGATTTCTGGGCACTAGCTTCGATACGCCATTTGCTAAGCCAATCTGAGGTGTAATTGAGAAGTCTTTGAAGTTTTTCACTCGCTATTGTGGCATGACTGTCCACTGCTAGAAAGGCTATGTCATCAGCATAGGTAGCAACAGTGACATCATCTGTAGTTGGTAGGTCTGACGTAAACAGGCTGTATAATACAGGACCTAGTACCGAGCCCTGAGGCACCCCAGCTTCAATCGGGAACAATGATGATCGTGCCTCTCTACTTTAACTCTAAATAATCTATCCGTGAGATAGGACTCCAGAATATGAAAAACAGAATGTGGCAGCTTTTCTTTGATTTTAAAGAGCAGTCCCTTGTGCCAAACGCGATCAAAGGCTTGTTGAACGTCCAAGAATGCAGCAGAGCAATACTGTTTATTTTCGAAGCATTGTCTGATTGTGTGGTACACTCGATGTACCTGTTCTATGGCGGAATGTGCCTTACGGAACCCAAACTGGTAGCAAGGTATAGTAGCATGTTTATCCATTATATCGTTGAGTCGTTTCACGAATATCCTTTCCCACAGTTTAGAAATGACTGGAGTAAGACTTATTGGTCGATAAGACGAGCATTCGTGTGGTGGTTTACCCTCCTTATGGATCATTACTATTTCTGACACCTTCCATAGATTTGGGAAATAGGACATTCTAAAGATGGCGTTAAACAAGCAAGCCAGGAAGGTGATACATTTTCTTGGCAGCTTCTTAAGAATTTGCGGAGTGACTAGATCAAAACCTGGAGCTTTTTTAGGACTAAGGAATTTAATTTCTTTTGCCATTTCTCTGGGTGACGTTGGTTTTATGGGTAGACACAATTGGATATCCTGTTCCAGTATGATGTTCAAGTTACCACTTTCGTCACTGCCTTCGTTTGGTTTGAACACTTGGGCCAGATGCATGGCAAACGCCTGAGATTTGTCTTGGTCAGTTCGTGCCCAGGACGACTGCCATCTTATGGGATAAGATGGTTGTTGGGGTCTGTTTATATGCTTGCAGGCTTTCCACAAAGAGTGCTGTCCAAGTTCTGATGGAGAAAGTAATTCAAGTGTACTTTTTATATTCTCATTCCTGCATTTCCTAAGGCACAACCTTAAATCTTTAATTTCTTTATTGAGCAAACTTTTGTCAGAGCAGTGACGCGACTGCTGCCAATTTCTACGGAGACGCCGTTTTTCCGCTATTTTATTTTGGATTTCCATAGACTGGGTTGATGTAGGGTTCAGTACTAAATTTGTCGAAGGGGTATTTTCCCATGCTGCTACCTGAATAAGGTTTGTAATATATTTGCATGCTATTTCTATATCTTCTTGTGATTTGAGTGGGATTCGAAGGTTGATGTGACTATCAATATATGAACGAAAACCATCCCAGTCTGTTTTCTCGTTATGGAGGAACATAGGTCTTTCACGTACTGCAACGGTAGAATGCACCGTTAGGATAATTGGAGTGTGGTCCGACGTTCCATCTAGGCTGGGTTCAATGTCAGTGAAAACATGACTTAGGCCCTGGATGACAAAGAAGTCCAACAGATCTGGTAATTTATTTGGATTAGTCGGCCAGTAAGTAGGCTTCCCAGTAGATAGTGGATGGTACTTGTAATGATCAATACACTTTTTTAATTGTCTGCCCCGGGTAACAGTGAGTCTAGAGCCCCAGAATGTGTGTTTGGCATTCCAGTCACCACCGGCTATGAATCTATTGCCTAGAGTTTTGAAATAATCTGCGAACATATTGTCAGTGATAATATGCTTAGGTGGACAATAGATCGCTGAAAGAACAATGGGCCCTGTTCGATCTTCAAGTCTGATACTAGTGGCCTGTAAATGGTTACTTGAGTAAGGTTCCAGTAGGCAATGTTTCAGTTTACATTTTATTACTAGAGCTGACCCAGCGTGAGCGCCGCCATCTGGATGGGGAGTGTGGTAGACTTGATATCCTTTCAGATGGAAAGAACTCCTGTTTGTGCAATGCGATTCAGATACCAAAACCACATCCAGTTTGTTGTAGGTAATAAAGGCTTCAAGTTCGTTTATGTTGGGTGATAGACCGTTAATGTTCCAGGCTGCAACCCTAAGCGATGCCATTTTATTTTGCAAGTTTAGGAATGATTGTGGTAAGGAGATTCAGCAACGTGCTGATTTGTTGTAAGAGCAGATCAATCTTCTCAGTTTGTTTGATTAGTATCAGTTCAACTGTACTAGTTTGTTGACTGTGATTGTTATCACTAGAGGAATTTGGTTGTTGGCCTTTAGTATTTTTCGTTACTTCTGCGTATGAGATATTAGCTGATGTCTTTGGTGAGTTATTCGTCAATCCTCGAGTCTCTGTGTTTTCTGTAACTGGATTGATATTGAGGTTAGGACCAATATTTCGTTGCACATTTGACTCCCTCGCTTAGTTTTTCTAGCTAAGATTTCTTTATAGACATGACAGCCTTTATAGTTGGCAGGATGGTCGCTATCACACAGAGCACACTTTGCGGGGGTATTTCTGTCTGTTTTTGGGCAGTCTGACGTTCTGTGTCCCTTTCCACATTTGACACAACGATATGGCCTCATGCATTGTTCTTTGAGTGACCGTACTGCTGACATCGTTGGCACTGAACTATTGCTTTTGCTTTACGAGGGTCTTCAATTTTGACTCTCTGATGGAAAATATACTGGATGTCTTTGACACATTTGTTGTTAGCGCTGGGTTCCAGATTTACGAAAAATGTATTAGTAGCTTTTTTGTCAGCACCGTAACGGGCATTTATTATTTCTCCACGAACCTTATTTCCCGTCTTTTCTACTTCTTCCACAATAGCATTATGGGGTGTGGTGTGGTGTAGGTTTTTTATGACAACACGGTATGGTCTGGATTCTTTTCTTGTAAATGTGTGCCCTATTAACCCTTTTTGCCTGATTAGGTCAATTACTTTTTTATAGCAATCTGCTGTATTTACCATCAGACGTAAGAGATTTTTATTAACGATCTTGAATTTGAATTCTTTGGGGGGGATTACCAATTCGACTAATTTACTGAGCTCATTTACATCTTCAATACCGTATAGGATTATGGGTGGCGGTTTATTTGGACGATTACTGCTAGGGAGTGAATCGCTAGAGTCCAGTGGTAGACCAGTAAACTGGTTTTCTACTTGTGTAGGTACAGGTGATGGTGGAGAGTCCTCGCGTACTTTGCGCTTTTTGTTTGTTGGCACTCGTTGCCATTCAGGTGGTACATTTTCCTGCTCCATCGGTTTTTTAGACGTTACAAGGACTGTTGTCAGAGATTTGGTAGTATCCACTTGGTCTGACTCTGTGCTTCCGCTAAAGGAAGCGGATCTCGGTCGGTGTTCAAGTATTCCTTTATGAAATACTTGTTGAATATATGTTTTTGTATTTTTGTTTATTTTAATTGGATCACTCATTTGATTCCCACGAGTATGGACGATTGGTTGGTCGCTCACAGGGTGACGCCTTTCCTGTGAGAAGGCTATATACAATGATGTTCGCCAGGTGCATCAAGGTTGGCGCTAGAGACTGAAGCCCTCAGCCATTCATCCTCTTGGCGCGGTCTCCACCGTAGGATTAGGGTAATTTTTTATTGAGGTTATTCTTCCTCTCAACCCGGGCGATTAAGCCAAGGTTCCCGGTTTCTTTCGAAATAACGGGTTGTGGTGGTAATTTCCTACCATACCAGCAAGCAGCAGAGATTTTAGAGCTGCTGAATCAGGTTCGTTAACCGCCGCCCGATACTCGGCGTTGTTGTTCCTTTTGCACCACCCGGAGAGCACGTGTAGGGTTGTAAAGGTAATTCCTACGGACGCGAACAACGCGACCCCCCCGCGAATAAAATAAAAACTGCGTTTAAAAAACCGACTTCAAAAAACCAAAAAGTAATAACAAACAAAAACTCAAAACTAAAAAGCAAAAAATAACTATTATTAGTACTGATAGGTTACCCACCCACTGATAGGTTAGAAGTCGGTGCCATAAGCTCATATCATAATGATATAACTGTCCACAAAATTGTGAATTAGGTACCTAAGGTAATAGTTAATGAATAATTTTGTATGGAACTTATGGCACCGGCTTCTTACCTATCAGTGGGTGGGTAACCTATCAGTACTAATAATAGTTATTTTTTGCTTTTTAGTTTTCACTTTTTGTTTGTTATTAGTTTTTTTAATCACATTTTCGATTCGGTGTCGACCTAGTAACACTGCTAATACTTAATAATACTTAATATTTTTTTCATATTTTCAATGTAAAGAATTTACACTCCTTTTTTATGGGATAAGCCGGTACACGAGCATACGTATCACGTGATAGTAAGCAATCGGCGTCGACCATCGACACCTGGAACACCAGAGGCGTTACAAGTGCGTTACCGGCCTCTTGGGGATTACGAACTTGAGGATTGCTGGGGATTCCGGGATTAGGTAGAGAGGTAATTAGGCCTCCGGTAACCTCAGACGGCAAAACACAACGCAAGTGTTGTTTGACGTCGGTTTTCTTCCCGGTCGTGATATAACTCCGGGCGAGCCGGCCCATTCGTGCCGAAGCATGGCTCTCCCACACTTAACATAATTAAGTACTTATGATTGAGTATTTTATTATTTGCTTATGAGTTTCCTAATGGTTTCAGATGAGTGCCACAATAGATGTACCCATGTTGAAGATGCTGAATGACCGGGAGATGCCTGCCATCGCACTCGGCACCTACTTGGGATTTGATAAGGTAAGAGCATAGGCATACCTACTCGTTGTCGCGGAGAACCTAACGGGTAACCGGGGCTCCGGCTTGACGTGCAGGAGTAGGAACGGGGTGGTTTTTAGTCAGTAAGAGTCTGACACTCCTTCCTGCCTCACCAAGGCGGAATTCCCATCCAGTAATTCGATGATTTTCCTCCCTTAAAAAAAAACCTACTCCTTTTTAAAAAGCAGGCCACGTACTTGGGACTCCTTTATTGTTGCGACTGGCGATGATTGCTTACCATCAGGTGATCCGTCTGCTCGTAAAGACTATTTCTATGAAAAATTTAAAAAAATCTGCTTCGTCTGTGTTGGTCGAGCGGAAGTTCTACTACCGATAAAGGGGTCTTACGTTCGATTTCAGGGTCTGGTATTTTTTTTCAACAATTACATGAAATCTGGACCTGGTTATTTATGCGATGGTAGGTACATGAGCAGACGGAAAACCTGATGGTAAGCAATCGGCGTCGCCCTAGTAACGAATGGAGTTTCTTGCTCGTTCTTTTACATTTAAATCTACATTTTGGAACGAGCACCTAGCTTCAGCTAGCTTCGCTGACGGAGAGACTTGACAGGCTATTATTTATTTTGTATTTGTTGACGTTTTAAAAGTACCCAATTATGGTTTAATTGAAATAAATGCTTTGACTTTGGAGGATTGTTGGGGATTGGGGAGATCGGAAATAGGCTTCCCTCCTAAATACTTACATAATGGAACTCTTATTAAAACTCGTGAAGACTGGGTCGGAAATCGAATCTGAGCCTGCTTTCTGGTAACAATCACACAGTAAATTAATCTATAATCCTTCTCTTCTTTCTAGGGCGGTGCAGTCACATCCAAAGACAAGCAACTTCGCAATGTAGTGATGCAAGCCATAGACCTCGGGTACAGACACTTTGACACTGCTGCCATCTACAACACGGAGGCTGAAGTGGGAGAGGCCATCAGAATGAAGATTGATGAGGGAGTGATCAAGAGGGAAGATGTGTTTCTTACTACTAAGGTGAGAGAGATAGCATTTTTATTTTTTTGCCTATTTTTGAGAAATCGCAAAACCATTATTATTATATCTGTGGGTTCTACCGTTTCATTAACGAAATGGCGCAAATCCAGCTGGTTTTATCGAATCTCTGCAACTGTCAACTATTGAGCGTCCAACTTACTCTAACACGTAAATCGTTTCCAAAATCAGTTGCTTTGAGTTTCAGAGACACTGTATTAGGACAAAGTCAAAGTTCTTCTATTTATTTCAGTTACTTAGACCAGAAAGGCACCTTTGAACGTACCTAAACAAAAATCTATAAGTGAAGCTATTTGCTCATTCCAAGGTGTAGATTCCTATGGAAAAGAACGAGCAAGAAGCTCTATAGGTTATTCTTTTTCAATCAGGTTTACCTACAATACAATTCTAGACTTTATTATTATTATATTACTGTATTTATTTTAGGCAAAATATTCACACAGCATCTAATTATTTTGATAAGAATATTAGGCTTGTTTTTTTAAATACTTTTCTACACACTAGGATTTTCTTCTGTGTCGTAGGTGCGTTTACAAACATTCAAGTTCACATACACATCACACTCAGACCCGAAACAACAATTTGTGGATTCACACAAAGAGTTGGTCCGTGCGGGAATCAAACCAGGTGTACGTTGAGAGAGTAAATTGGAGACAATATAGGTATATGTCGAAACCAAGACTCGTAAAATATGGCGTCCCCCAAGGCGGCGTACTAAGTCTTAACTCTTTTTGATATATATTAACGATCTACCAGAGGCCACAAATAGTAAAATGGTCCTTTTCGCTGATTACAGTACAGCTATTGTAAAGTGTAATAACCCTGATAATTACGTAAATGACAGTAAATTGGCTCAATAATAACAACTTGATTATAAATCTGCAAAAAACTAAAATTATGCATTTCTATCAACGCACACTAAAAATCGTACAACCAATGTTGTCGTTAATGGTTGTGACGTTGAAGACACGGACACGACTAAGTTTCTAGGTCTAACGATAGATAAGCAGTTGACATGGAAACCACAAATGGAAGTACTATGTAAAAAATTAAACAAATCCGCAGTGCAGTCGATTTAATTTAACCCTTATTCAAACGCAAGCCTGTGGAGGAGTTAACAAAAAAGTAACATACGTTCCTAGGTAATTTTGGGTCGTAGATTCCAAAAATCCACACAAAAGAGGGGTTAGTGGGGGGGAAGTGCCCTTTTTTTGGTGGGAAGTATATATCCCGTCGTCTGTTCTCTGTTGTAACAAAGTTGGAAAGGTGGGAACTATAGCTCCCAGTGTCCAGTATGACATCGATATTTCCAAAATAAAAACAATAATTTCTAATATGTTGAAACTAGTTGTCTAATTATCTGATCATGAAATAACGAATAATTACTAATTAGTTGCATATACTAAGCATTTTTAGACAAACAGATTTTATATATATAGAATTTCCGAATGTAGTGTGCAGTGACGAACACTGGGATGATATCTTCCCACTTAGAGACTCAATTTCAATCGACTGTATCAAGGTATAAACGAAAGATTCTGGGCATATTGTACGTTTGACGGCACCGTAACATAGTCTAATTTACATAGCTAAAACTCAAATCTGCATACCTAATTTTTTTTCAGCACTACACAAAAAACTAAAAAATAACGGTCGTTTTCGGTGACAAAATCACGTCAACTGACTTTGACGTGTGTTTACCATGACATGTAATAATTCTCTGAAAAGTTTTGCCATCAATAAAGGTTCTATGAAATGTTAAGATTGCGTAGATAAATATTACATTGCATTGAGTTTAAGCATTAAAAAATAAAACACGATTTACTTCAATCTGAGACGTGGGAAGTATAGCTCCCAGCGTTTTAATAAGGGTTAACCTCTTTATTAAAATACATGATCTAACTAATGCTTAACAATACATCTTTCTTCTTCTTTCTTTAGCTTTGGAACACCCACCACAAACGCGAGCAGGTAGCTGTCGCCATGAAGGAGACACTCAACAAGACCGGGCTGGACTACGTGGACCTGTTCCTCATGCATTGGCCTATCGCACTCAACGTGAGTATCAGCTCGAAGGTCGGGAGATTATGATATCTTATTAATTGAAATAAATGCGAAAGTTTTTGAGTTTTTGTCCCTATGTCTGTTACATAATGACGTAAAAACTGATGAAGGGATCGAGAGATGAAGTTTGGAACAGTCTGGTTGGTCTAGAATAATATACCGGGCACAATTCCAGACTCCGTGCTACTTTGACCAACCCGGGAATGGAACCCGAGACCCCTTGCCCGGCAGTCGCACTTGCGACCACTCAGCCAACGAGGCAGTCTTTATTATCCACTAGAATAAAAAATTATTAGTGGATGCAGTAACCCAATGTTAGTCCATACGGATATATTCTTATGAAGCGCTTCGCATCAAGCTTCCTTGTGCGTACTGCTAAGAAATGGAATTCTTTGCCAAAGTCTGTATTTCCTGAAGGGTATGATGTCGGTGACGTGCTCCATCGTAGACCGCATCATCGCCTACCACCAGGCAAGATAGTGGTCAAACGTCGGCCAATCAAATAAGTAAAAAAAATTATTATTAAAAAAACAAAATACCCGACTGCACACTAAAAAAAGAGTAAAACAAGCCCCACAATAATATTGATCAATCAAATGCTAAAAACTAATTATGTAATACCGTTTAAACAATACCTATATTAAAATACACTACAATATGTGTTCGTAATCGATAGTTAAATAAACAGAAACTTATTTTGAATACAAATTTACTGAATATAATTTATAAATGTTGATGGAATGCATCGCAGGCGGGGACCAACAGAGGCTTATTTATAGTCATTTCGGTTGTGCACCATTTAGCAGAATTTTCGTTGGTGGCGGTCAAGGTGGTCCCCGCCTGCGATGCTTTCCATCAACATTTATAAATTATATTCAGTAAATTTGTATTCAAAATAAGTTTCTGTTTATTTAACTATCGATTACGAACACATATTGTAGTGTATTTTAATATAGGTATTGTTTAAACGGTATTACATAATTAGTTTTTAGCATTTGATTGATCAATATTATTGTGGGGCTTGTTTTACTCTTTTTTTAGTGTGCAGTCGGGTATTTTGTTTTTTTAATAATAATTTTTTTATTTATAACTTTTTAGCTGTTTTTATTTTTAATAATTATTATTATATTATTAATTAATATGAAGAATTTAAGAAAGAACCAAAAAAAAGAACGGAAGAACGAGTTAATTAATTAGAAAGAACGAATAAATTTAAAGAGAGAAACACGAAAGAAAAAAAAAAGAACGAGTTATTTATACTTTATAAGTTTCGCGTCAGACGACGAAGTATCGAAAAAATCGCTATTTAGAGACGACCGTCAACGACGTGTGCCCTCATGCGTGTGCCCCCTATACTTATTATACTCTTTGGTGTGCCCGCAATCGGGCTGTATACTCGAGCATATCCCCCTCCGCACCGCGCCGCGCGCCGCATGCCAGGCCACGCCCTATCTTTTTGCTTGCTAACGCATGAGTTGCTTTGCGTTGACGCAGAATTAACATGTTCCCGTGGGAATTTTGAGAAAAAACGTATCCTATATTAATTACTCCCGTGATTGAAATGAATCTAATGATACCGCATACATATTTTTTTAAAGGGAAATTTAGAAAAAATATTATTATGTCTTTATCCCGTGGGACTTTTAGGATAAAATGTATCCTATGACACTCCCGTAATCAAGACAAATCTAACGATACCTCATACATCAAAATCCATCAAGCCGTTTAGGCTACAGGTGGTCACAAAGGAAAAGACATACATACATACTTACATACACTCGAAAAACATTACCCTCCTTCTTTGGCAGTCGGGTAAAAAGTAGAGATGGTGTATCTGCTTTTACTTTTTTTTAGTTATCTTAAATTCAATTGTAAGGGAGGGCAAACCAAATTGTGAGTGCAGTTTTACAGTATGTGAAATTACTAAGAATTTGCGATGTTAAAAGTCTTAATAATACTTTGCCCTCTCTGAAAAAAATACCTTTGAACGGACTCGGCGCTCCGGCAGTCACATCTGCAATAATTAAAATTATGTAAATTTTTAAAACCTTGATTTATGTAGATATTTTATGTAGAACTAGCTTTTACCCGCGGCTTCGCTCGCGTCACAAAAGGATAAAAAGTAGCCTATGCGACATAAACCAATACTCACAGCGCCATCTATACCAATAATTTCGTTTTCCCTTGAGAATATCAAATTTTTCAGGGATAAAAAGTACCCTATTATTTAATCCAGAATTCTAACTTCACGTCTGCAAAAATTCAAAGCAATCGGTTTAGTAGTTACGGCGTGAAAGTGGAACAAACAAACAAACTCACTTTCCGATTTATAATATTAGTAAGGATTTTATGTAGAATGAGGCGGACTAAGCCTAGAAAGCTCTCTAGGTAAGCACATTATAGGTGTTTCTAATTTTTTTTAGGCGTAGTCTCAACTCTTTTGTCTGTTGGGCGCGCGCGTCTTTCGGCATCGAGACGTACCTCTGTAATCTGTCGTACTAGGCACGTCCCTATTTTGGTTCAGGGATAATAAGGCTCTGAAATAGTCGATTAATTGACTACAATATCCTTTTTCAGGAAGACTACAGTCACTCCAATACGGATTACTTGGAGACTTGGCGCGCCATGGAAGAGATGGTAAAGCTTGGATACACCAAGTCTATTGGACTGTCCAACTTCAATAAACTGCAAGTCGCGACAGTCCTCCAGGAATGCACCATAAAACCTGTCGCTTTGCAAATTGAGGTAGGTTGTACTTATTAAGATTATTTAGACACCAATAACAAACAGTAAAAGAAAATGTCGCCGTCGTGAGGAAACCTGGCCTCATAATTTCTAATTATACGCATGAAATCGCTGATCCGCTTTAAAAAAGCGTGCTGACGTTAATAGATACTAAAACCTTCTCCGTATGAGAAGAGTTTATTCCTGTGTGCCCCAGCAGTGCCGAAGAATGGCTCAACACTTGAACTCAGTTACTCAAGTCAACGTACTGTCCACAGGTTCATCCTCAAATTATTCAAGAAGACCTGATCAGCTACGCCAAAGATGAAGGCATCATTGTCATGGGCTATAGTCCATTCGGTTCCCTAGTCAAGAGATTTGGTATGGACCTTCCTGGGCCCAAAATGGATGACCCGGTTCTCACGTCTTTGGCCAAGAAATACGATAAGACTCCTGCCCAAATTGTGTTGCGGTGGTTGGTGAGTGGAAGCAGTTTTTAACGCTTTTTACTGGTAAAAAAGAAAGATAGATTATATTTGTCATGATTGTGATCTGTCAAATAATCAAATTACCTAAATGTAAATTGTAGGTAAGTATCCTGTCTAATAATTTATTTTTCACTTCCAGGTCGACAGAAAAGTAGTCCCGATTCCAAAAACCGTTAGTCCAAAGAGACTGTTGGAAAACATCAATATTTTCGATTTCAAGTTGAAAGAAGAGGAAATCGAGAAGATTAATCAATTCAATTCTAATACTCGATACACATTGCCTTCATTCTGGCAGAAGCACCCCTTTTATCCATTTGATATGGTCCCAAACCCCATCCCTGATCCTTTTAGGTCTGAAATTAAGTCCTAAATTGAAGTCAAGATTGAAACCTGCCGTTGTTGATGATAAAAATGAGTATCGATTAATGATCTCAATTTGACCAACTTTTTTATCTGTTGTGCATGTCACAGATAAAATATTAGCGCGCAATTTTAAAAGCTATAATAAACAATTGTTATTGAGTTTTATTGATGTAAAGGAGATCAAATTCAAGACTGTATTTTAGATGTAAGATTTTAATAAAGGTGAAATTAATAAATATTTATTTGAGTCCTCTGCGATATTTTAATTACAATAATGATTATTATCATCATTTATCTGTGAGTAAAAATATATTTATAAGATTATTTTTTTAATAAAAATATGTGAAATCAATCTATACCGATGTGTCTTTTTTAAAATTCAAAATCTTTAAATTAGGGATCAAGTTTAAAATGATGAAATAGTTAATCGTCATTCTATCATTAGATCGTCTCTGATCTTTCTAAAAAAGCTTATCCCATCTAGGCATAGTATTAGCTACACTAAAATACTGAAATATAAATATTTTTACGTGTTTACGTATTGAAATCGCTGTAGCATTCATCAAAACAGTTTTGGATACTGTGATTCATGAATCACTATATACCTACTAATACATGACACTCCCTCCCTACTAATTTGAAGTAAAATCTTGACTTTGTATGAATAGAATTGATTGATCGAAGGTAGATACCTACAAAGGATATGCCGTACTCAAGAGTCTAGAAATCTAGATAGCCTATGCCCTACAATATCTAACCTGTGGTATATTAAAGAAGGTCTTTCAATATCATACTAAGCGAAAAGATCATTATTGTTTATCATACGAATCAATACGTTTAGTAAGTGGAATTTCGAAATTATTTACATTACCTGATATTTTTAGATTAGAAAGAGATATAAAGATATGGTTTTATTATAAATGCAAGAGACTGATGTAGAACATTGGATAATTTGGTTCAAGATATCGATATTTCCAAAGCATGAACATGAACATTTTTTATGTTACACTTTGAAGTTTATGGAAACTGGTGACTGGAACGCACATAATGTGACCATGTAAGGAAATTTCCCCGAATTTTGGTAATATCGATATAATGTCAGAGTAAAGATTTATTTCTTTTGAAGTTTGATTATGTTCAGTAAACAAATATATTTTTTAAATATTAGTACTAGTATAATTTTTTTGAAAATAATGTCCATATTTGTACCACACTGTTATTCCATGTTAAAAGGAATTTGTCATAAATTAATAAAAAAATATATATGTATTTGCCGTATCCTATCACTTCCCATCGTCGCTTTTACATGGAAGAATATCCAGAATTCGTAGTCCATCACAGTCTATGAGTTAAACACATTTTTGTTAAAATGTATTGAATCCATGAAGAGTTCTTAGTAGTTCAGTTTTAACGATATGGATTTCACATTTTTTTTTTGATTTTCCTAAAAAAATGCAAGCTTAATATTATCCTAATAATAAATTCACACTGAGTACACACCTAAGTTATTTCTGGCATGTCAATAAAACAACAAAGTGGAAACATTACGTCAGTCTGGTAACCCAGCGGTGCAGCTGATGAAGGACGTCTTTAGTTCGTCGGTCTGCGAAAAATCAAATAGAATTTTCCTCCATATTTGTTTTGTGGTGCACTTTGCACAAATAATTGTTTAAATAAAGTGTTGTAAACCATACATTGTGGCTAAGGTAACGCCTTACCCGAGCATGAGTTATTCCGGAAGGAATAAATTCGAGGTAAGCAATAATCGATATTAATGACAATGTTTGTGTTTTCATTGTGATAAAAACAGCTGACATGGGCGCTACGGGCCCATTTCTTTGTTCTTGAGGCCCTTTATGACATGTACAGGGAATACGGCTTCAATGTAAACCTAAAATATGATGAAATATCGATTTAAAGCAGAGTCCGCGATCGTATCCGATATATTTATTTATTGCTTTGTGTGTAGAGTAATCGTAAGAAGACTTCTTTATCGCGTCGCGTCGTGATTATTATTTGTATGTTTTTATAGTTTAATCACACGCGGTACTCGGTATTCATATTTTTCTTTGTTAGGTCAGTGTAAATGACCTCAGCCGCGCGGCCACTCAACTCATGAATTGCTTATACACCACCGTTATAATGATTGTTTTGTTAATTTTAAAACGTATTTTTAATGAAACGCGTATTTACAGGATTTATACATGTGCGCCTTTGCCTGTCAGAGAGAAATGGCGAAAGTGTCCATAAATTATCTGTTTTATTTCTAATTGTAGCGGGAAAATAAATACGTTTGTGTAAAAATAAAAAGTTACGATTTGTACGCGACGCGCAGTAAAATTTTTGTTTTTGTTTGCTAATGACGCCGCGACGCCGACTCGTAAAATGTTGTTATCAGATAACGTATTATCAAGTCACATTGTCTACCATGCTTGTTGATTTCATTTAGTTTAAAGCACCACTATCATTAGGGCCCATTATTTTCGAATTAACGTAAATTAATTTATTTACTCAACATGTGATGAGTAAATAACATGTTGGTAATTATTTTTGTACATGCTTAAAACATGTTAAGAGATAATGCAGGAAAAATGTGCTCTAAGCAAAGGCTAAAAGTCTTGTTGAGCAATCAAATACATAATGCCCATATTGGGCTTTAAATGTGGTAAGAAGTCAACTCATGTAAGTTAAGGATAGTGAGTGACTATTCTTGGTCAGCGACATTTAGTCACTGTGTTTGTGCCTAAAGGATTAAATTAACATCTAAATTAATAATTTCCTCAACACGTTCCTTAATTATTACAAGATTATACCTCGGTTATTGGAAATTCAAAGTATATAACATAACTTCATGTACCATAACTAATAAAACAATAGGGTAAATGACTTATTTTTATTTCAATATCCTTCTGGTAGATTATTTAAAAACATTACACACATTTTTTATTTTTTTACAGAAACAAATATCTAGTTTCGAATATATATTGATTTGAAATATCGCATGTCACTTTTTAGTATGATTTATACTCTAAAATGTCGTAGCTACCTCCCACTGCTAAACTTTGATTAGTTTTTTCTAAGTATTGTTTTATTATATGACAAAATAAGAAAGAAATATGTGTCTAATATATTTTCATGGCCTAACTGACGGACTAATTAGATTTTTAATTTCCATACCCTGTCATCATCCCTATTGTATTCTACTGATATTATAAATGCGAAAGTTTGTATATTTGTTTGTTTGTTCTTTCACGTCAAAATGGCTGAAGCGATTGAGATGAAATTGGAACAAGGTTAGATTGTAGTCCGGAATAACACATAGGCCACTGTTTATCCCACAGGAATACGGGTGAACCCGCTGACTGAAGATAGTTATAAATATAACCCCCTATTACATGGAATTCATTTATAACATAACCAGTAATAGCCAGTGTTGCATTGTATTACATTGTATTGCACTGCAAACTCCTTAAAGTAACAACAGGGCTGATATTACATTCATCATCACTATCATATCAGCCACAAGACATCTACTGCTGAACTTAGGCCTTCCCCAATGACTTCCAGATTGACATTCAATACTTTCTCCCGCCTCACCTAGGCGGAAGCCGCCATTAGATGATTTTCCCCCTTAAAAAAAAAGGACTACAACATGGTCTTTAGTAAAATTGATACAAATGTTTAGCTCTATATTTAACTCAAAAAGGGTTTAATGAGCGTAATTATTTACCAATTCATTTTAAACAAGCAATTAATTTAATTAGAAAATAATGCAAATGAAGTAATTATGAACCTTATGAAGTAACTAATTAAGATTATATTGATATTTTAATCACTTTCTGTTACTTCTGTTTAAAGAGTAGGTATAAGTATGCACAAACCAATATTTTATTTTTGCAACTTCTGTCTGCCTGTTTATTTGTACTGGCTAATATCTGAAATGGCTGGACCTATTTTGTAAGACTTTTATTGGAAGGTAGCTGATGTATGTACTAAGTAACATAGGCTACTTTTATTTTGGAAAATACCCGTATATCCCCAAGCGGTCACCGGTGACCACTCTCGACTAACTACATTATAGACCTTATTTTCAATTTAGAGACTACTTTTGTATTAACAAATTGAGGGGATGATTTTCAAAAATTTTCAACGGTTTAATATAGAAACAAAAAACGTTATGTTCTAAAATTCATATCCTACGAGGACGTAGTCGCGGGCAACAGCCAGTTTTAAATAAAATATTTATTTATTTATTTATACTTTATTGCACACACAGAAAAAAATTGTAAACATTGCAATAGTAATTTGAGTACAATGGGCGGTCTTATCACACGCGGCGATTTCTTCCAGACAACCTTTGGATGGATTTTTTGAAAAGAATCTGGGAATGGGTGGTAGATGCACAATAAAATAAAACCAAAATAGAAGAAAAACAATAAGTAAAAAAAACAAATTAAACAATCAATGAAACTTACTTAAACTTACTTGAAATACTAGTCGGATTAGAAAGATAGGTTCAACAAAACGATGTAACCAAAAATTGTATTGTGAACCTGATTGAAAAAAAGTAACCTATGGAGTTTCTTGCTCGTTCTTCTCTATAGGAATCTACACCTTGGAATGAGCAAATAGAGCAACTAGAGGACTGACCGACATATATACTGACATTTTAATATTTTAATATTTGTTTGATGTTCAAAAGTGCCTTCCTGGTCTATTTGAAATAAATGATTTTGACTTTGACTTTAGTATTAAAGAAAAACACAAATAGTAGAGTAGTCCTCTTCACATCTATACTTTACACCTGAGATCTATAAAGATGTCTTCGGTCCCCTATTTAAGAGCTGAAAGGTCACCAAAGATCGCTAGCTACGCCCTAGTTTCATATGAATCATATCTGGATAAAACCGGTGCATACAATTGAATCTTGAAATGAATAACTGCCACTTATGTTAGATTGTACCTACAATGTAACTGATATAAAGTGAATTATTGTAGTTTCTGTTGATATAACAAAGGCTTTTATTTATTTCCTGAAGCGCGCTATATGTGCATTTCATTTATCACAAGTTATCTGCCTCATTGGTCTAGTCATAAAACAATTGACTTTATTTTTGAAAATAGGCTACAAATCAGCACTTTACACATACCTACATAGTCGCGGAGAACCTAACGGGTAACCGGGGCTCCGGCTCGACGTGCAGGAGAAGGAACGGGTGGTTTTTAGTCAGTAAGAGTTTGACACTCCCTTCCGCCTCACCCAGGCGGGAGCAGTCATTCGATGATTTTCCCCCCTTAAAAAAAAAACACATACTTACATTTTTATTTTAACTCTAAATGAGCCTAACTGACTACTCTGAGAAGAAATGTCGATTTTCTAATCTAGTCATTGCAAGTGTACCTACCAAGCAATAGGGTAGTTACCTGAATTTTACTTTAATGTCCGTCTGGTAGATTAATTTAAAACATTAGAAACGTATTTTTTCTTTTCTCACAAAATTAAATACTTTCGACGATATATTAATCTGAAATATCGTGTGACGTCACAATGCGCTACAATTTGTAGCACTTTGTGACGTAACGACCTCCCACTCCTAAACTTAACTTCATTTTATCTAAGTGTTAATAGTAATAGTTAGTAAAAATATGTGTCTAATATTTTTTCATAATGTATGTACCTAACTGACGGATTAATTAGATTTTTAATATTTTTTTAGTTTCATTCGTTGACCCTATCAGTTAAATAAAATTCTCAGAAAAAGTTCTGGTTTGTCCGCTATTGTACCACTGTCTTTATCGAAATTGAATATCCGACAGTTTGTACGCTTGCAAATATTTTAACTTTAAATTATTTCTCACTAGAACCCATAGTGGTGAATTCTTTACGTCCTCAAGTACTAAAAGTAATCACGAGATGGCGCTAGTGAGCCTAAGGTCCAATTACCCTGTCAGAAGTTTACCAACTAATGACTTGATTTTAGACTACTAGTCATTCAATAAACGAAATAATATTTTTTAACGTCATAAGCATATATTTTTTATTGGTCAATAGCCCATAAGCTACGTTAGCGCCGGCGCCGTTAGTAGCGTAGAAACCCTCGGCAACCGTGGTGGTGTTATTTTGTTAATAGTGCAGTTTTAATAGTTAAGTGAAGTGTAAAATAATTTAATTATTTAATACCTAATAGTGGTTATAAGAATGAATATTGATATGGAAACTGAAGATGAGGTTCGGACAAGTATATTTAACTAGCTACTTCCGCGCGGTTTCACACGCTCTGTTCAGCTCCTATTGGTCGTAGCGTGATGTTTTATAGCCTATAGCCATCCTCGATAAATGCACTATCCAACACAAATCAGACTTGTAGTTACGGAGATTAGCGCGTTCGAACAAACAAACAAACAAAAAAACAAACTTTTCCGCTCTATATAATAGTATAAGATTACGTTTTTCTTGCGTTGTAACATAACATAACATAACATCACGCCTTTTATCCCCGAAGGGGTAGGCAGAGGTGCACATAGAAGTAACACCCACTTTTCACTATTTATGTTATGAGTCCCATGTAATAGGGGGTGAGCCTATTGCCATATACCGGGCACATTTCCAGACTCCGTGCTACTACTGAGATTTTTAAAAAACCCCAGTAATACTTTGCCCGACCCGGGAATCGAACCCGAGACCCCTTGCCCGGCAGTCGCACTTGCGACCACTCTGCCAATGAGGCAGTCAGCGTCAGCAGTCTTGCGTTGTGTTAAGATAAATTAATTTAAAATTAAATTAAATTATTCATCAAGTCGACTGCAACCAATTGTAATATCTATTGTATTTTTAAACGCATTAATCTCATAAACAACTGGTTTGGAATTGAAAAAGTATTTTTGTGTTAGATTTATCGGAAGAGGTTGAATAGAAGCCGAACAGCGGGTGAAATATTATTAAGCTTTTACTTCGCTCGCGTCACAAAAGAATAAAAAGTAGCCTATGTGACATATACCAATACACACAGCGCCATCTATACCAATACTTTTGTTTTCCCTCGGGAATATCAAATTTTTCCGGGATAAAAAGTACCCTATTGATTAATCCAGACTTCTAACTTTACGTCTGCAAAAATTCAAAGCAATCGGTTGAGTAGTTACGGCGTGAAGGTGGAACAAACAAACAAACAAACTCACTTTCAAATTTATAATATTAGTAAGGATTTAATATTGTATATGGATTGTTTCAGATCGCTCGGTATTCGGGCGAGGATGAGAACCACATCAACCGCAAGCTCCCGAAGGAGCTGCTGCTGCGCATCCTCTCCTACCTAGACGTGGTCTCCTTGTGTCGGTGTGCACAGGTAAGCAAATACTATTGAAACTCCCTATAATTTTAAAACTTATTTATTTATGTACACACATTCAACACAGAGGAATCAGAGGATAATACATAATAAAAAACAGAGTACATAGGCCCCACATATTCCAACTGGAATTTCTTCCTGTGGGCCTGTGGCAGGAAAAGAAATAACAATACAGAGACACATAGTGTGTTACACAAACAAGATAAAAATCAATTAATAAAAAAAAGTAATAAGACCGAAGAAACCAATAGAATTAACAATAATAAACAATAAAACAAATTAATATAGCAGCAGCAGCACTTAATAGCAGCTCCATTTTGAAAAAACCGTAATTTTGACAGTTCTTCGTGCTTACTCTTGAAACCAATCTCAATGCAATTTCAATCCAATAAAATCTCAATAATTATTCAATGTCAAAACTATACAACCCCGATCGTTGCTGTTAAAATAGCATTCCGAGTACGGAATATAAAGCCAAACTCAATACCATTTAGTTCATTAAATATCCACGCAATACAGATTCAATGGGCGCTAGTGTGGTCTCAAGAGTACGAAATTTCACAATACCAATGTCGATCGATCGGAATTGGATTCAAGAGTCCCCCTGGTCATCCAAACCACTTGTTAACTCGTTGTTTGGCAAAACCGGAGCGAAAGCCGGCAGCCAAGAGATTAACTGTGCCGTCATTTTCGGGGAATTGTACTCCCCGGAAATGATTGCATAATAGTTTTCTGCACGATCATCAACGCATATTTGATACTTCTGGTGGTGTAGTACTTGTCCTACTAGGCTACGTATGTTTTTACGTAAAGAAATAAAGATATGTTTAAATTCATTCATTCATTATTAACAGCCTATAAATGCCCACACCTGACCAAAGACCTCTTCTCACACTGAGAAGGTTTGAGCATTAATCACCATCACCACGTTTTCTCAATGCGGGTTGGTGGTGACAAACTTATAATTAGAAATTATAAGTCTAGGTTTCCTCATGATGTTTTCTTTCACCGTTTGTCAGTGGTGTCTAAATAATCTAAGAAAGTACATATAACTCGGAAAGGGTTACATTGGTACTTGTTTTTATAAAAACTATCGTGAGACATACTAAATTAATGGCGGCGATGTCACGCAGCCTACTGACTACATCGCTGCGACCGCGCACGCTGCTCATGAGGAAGAACTCCTCTGTAGTTTGACACTAGTAGAGCTTTTCTCAGTATATTCACGTGAGTAAACCGCGATTTTTAGTTAACATTGGTACTTGTCGTTGGTCTTGGTAGGATTCGAAACCGCACCTTCATGTATGAGAAGCGGGCGTCTTAAACCTCCGGGCCACCACGACACCAGACATAAGACGATGGAAAATTGGTATCTAATGCAAACCAACTATATTTCAATAACTATAACTACTTTTAAAGCTTTATGAGTTCAAACTGTAAGTTCAGCTCGGTATTACTAGAGTACAGGTTGAAATAACGATTACTACTGCATAAAACTAAGTTATTTATTGTTATTTATAGTGTATATAAAACATAACATAACGTTTTTTTTATCCCCGAGCAGTTAGGCAGAGGTGCACATTACAGCACTTAATGTCACTGTATAATGTGACACCCACTTTTCACTATGATTTGAGTTCCATGTAATAGGGGGTGAGCCTATTTACCATATAAATAAAATAAAAGTAAAAAAGCCTTATATTTCTTACTAATTCACAAAGAATTGAAAAAAAAAATGGTTTTACGTAATAAGATTTCCTTTACTTTACATCCTTCTCGGCGGTTTACGTTGCTTGTATTTTTTTACTTATTTATTTATTTATAAACTATGTACATACGACTATCATATATGTATAATATCATGTAGTAAGAACCCCTCACTTTACTCGAAGTTGAAGGCCCCCTCTAGTGCTTTCCATGTGTCCCTGTTCGTGGCGATATCCATCCGATGTTTGCCAGCCACTTGGATTATGTCGTCTGTTCACCGCGCGTATGGTCTGCCTCTTTGTCTCTTTTTTTTCTCATTTGTTCTATTGCCATATACCGGGCACAATTCTAAACTTCGTGCTACTAATGAGATTTTTTTTAAAACCCAGTAAAATTTTCGACCACTTGGCCAAAACGAGGCAGTCAGTATATAATGTCGCGGAGAACCTAACGGTTAACCGGGGCTCCGGCTCGACGTGCAGGAGAAGGAACGGGGTGGTTTTTAGTCAGTAAGAGTCTGACACTCCCTCCCGCCTCACCCAGGCGGGAGCAGACATTCGATGATTTTCCCCCTTAAAAAAAGTCAGTATATAATACATATTATCTTTTATTCCAGGTATCGAAACTATGGAATATATTAGCGCTGGATGGCTCCAACTGGCAGAGGATAGACCTGTTTGAGTTTCAACGAGATGTTGAGGTAAGTCAAGCAAGTAAAGTCAAGCATTTATTTCAATTAATCCTTAATTAGGCATTTTTAAAGTATGAGAAGAGAGCCATGCTTCGGCACGAATGGGTCAGCTCGACCGGAGTGATACGGCTTCACAGAAAACCGACTTAAAACAACACTTGCATTGTGTATCGTCGTGTGAGTCAGGTTATCAGAGGCCTAATTAATTACTCGCCTCCCCAATCCCTGAATACCCAACAATCCTCAAATTCCTAATCCCCAAACGTTCAGTAACGCACTTGTAACGTCTATAGTGTTTCGGGTGTCCATGGGCGGCGCAGATTGCTTACCATCATGGTGCATGGTAATCCGTCGGCTCGTTTACCGGCTTATCTCATAAAAAAACTTAAAGGTTTGAATTGTCAGTCAAATTAGGCGCTCGTTCCAAAGTGTAATTGCTAATGGAGAAGAACAAAAAAGAAACTCAACTCCATCCAGTATTTTACAATATAATAACTTATTTTTACTTGCGCTGCTACCTGCTGAGTGATCGGAAATCTGACTGCCGAACAGTGTGGGAGAGACATGTTTCGGCACGAAAGGGCCGGCTCGACCGAAGTGATACCACGGCCTCACAGAAAACCGATGTGAAACAACGTTTGCGTTGTGTTTCGTCGTGTGAGTAAGGTTACCCGAGGCCCCATTACCTCCCCCCCCTTCCCCAATCCCTGAATCCTCAATAATCCTCCAATTCCTAAGGTTTAAATACGACAAGCACAGTTGGTGTATATCGCAGGTTCAATAACAACTCTTTGTGTGTTTCACAATGGTTATTCCGGGACTGACGCACCCACTCTCGATACGGGAGAAAAATCGTAAAGTAGGGCTACGTTATAAATTATGTCCCATTGTCTCCAGGGTCCAGTAATCGAGAACATATCACAAAGATGCGGCGGTTTCCTCCGGGAACTGTCCCTGAGAGGTTGCGAGAGCATAGGGGACTCCTCCATCAAGTCACTGGCACATGTGAGTATTGTCAACATCAGTATCATTTAGGGTTGCCACCCGTACTTTATAATAAAGTATTGTACGTTATTTAAGGTAATTGTACTGTATACTTTATAAGAATAATAAAGTACACGAAAATACTTTATTTTTGCAAAATTCGATATCGATATTTATCGACTTATGTTGAATCGATTTCGCCACTCGCCAGCGCCACTTAGACAATTTCTATTAAAGATGCAATTGTTTAGTATTTCAATGCAATTGTTTAGTAAAGATACTAATTTTATACAAACTGCAAAAAACAATAAAAAGTATATTTTTCAAATATAATACTAAATAAGAATAAATTGTACTTTATTTTTACTATAATCGTCAATATACTTTAAATATCAAAATAAAAGGTGGCAACCCTAGTATCATTATACAAAAAACGCGACTGCCTCGTTGTTCGAGTGGTCGCAAGTGTTATTTATGTTAATAATCCCATGTAATAAGGGGTGAGCCTATTGCCATATATCGGGCACATTTCCAGATTCCGTGCTACCACGGAGACTTTTTTTTAAACCCAGTAATACTTTACCCGACCTGGGAATCGAATCCGGATTTATTTTACTTGAATTTATTGTAATAATGTGCTGAGCGCACGACGTTTACATGCACCACAGTATGACAGATAGACAGCGCGTCTGTTGATATTATGTACTACAATATAATGAGGGGTACATACCTTACGATAGTAGTGATGTTAATACATACATATAACAGATATGTTTCAGGTGTTGGCAATAATCTCAAAAACTACTGCACATATTTTGATTCGAATGTGTTTGTTTTTCCAGTCGTGTCCAAACATCGAATATCTGAACTTGAACAAGTGCCGTAAGATTACGGACGCCACCTGCCAGGCGCTCGGCAAGAAGTGTAAGAAGCTGCAGCGGTGAGTTCATAACATAATTAATTTAATATTTCAGTATATGATATATGCCCGAATACTGAAACGTTACTCAATTTTAAGTCACGCTTAAGTATAGTTCTGTCTCTACAAATTCTTTGTGAAATGACAGAGATGGCACGATATTTAAGCACGACTTAAAATTGAGTATCGTTTCAGTATTCCGGCATAAGTTTCTGTTAGCATAATTAATGGATAATTTGATTTGATTTAATTTCTAAACGAAAGCTAAGCTTTATATATATTTCAAGTTCCTTTTGTTATTTTCCGGGGCTACCTTTAAAAGGCGGATAGCTTTTGAGTAAAAAAACTAAGGATTCTAGGATTCCTGTCTCGCTTAAAAATTCTGGTGGTCACTGTCAGTCCTTTGGTCACTATAGTTTTTTCTTCTTCTCCTCTTATAATATCTTCTGATTCACTTCGTTGCGGGAACCAAGACAGTTATTCATGTCCCTGGGACGCGTCGGACTTCAATGTTCCGGTGTTTTCATGGTTGTATCGACTGTAGATCCTGGCTTATAAGAGTTGCAGCGGTTTTGGGAGGATGTGGCGGGCTTGTCCCATTAAAAAAAAATTCAGTCCTTTGGGACCAACGGATAACGGACCTCTAAATAAACCTAGTTTAAATCTGAAAAGAATCGGAAAATATCTGTATCAGTGGGATCCTGATAACGATCTTTTCCCGTGAAATAAACCATAATGAAATTTTTAATTTTTAAATTAATAGATATTCAGACCAAAATGTATCAAAGAATAGAGACAATTGTACAGTCTGAGTCGGTTATCAAAATGGATCTGAAAATATAATAATTCTGTTTCAGAATAAACCTGGACTCGTGTTCCAACATCACAGATGTGTCACTGAAGGCTTTGTCAGACGGATGCCCGGTAAGGTCCTTATTTTTGTACTAGCAAACCCAGCGAACTTCGTTTCGCCACCAGATGGCTTCATTTTATGTAACATTTCGTTTGTTGATTAAAAGATGAAGAATATTATTTTCTGAATTTTCTTTGCTATAATCCTCACGGAGCCCGAGACCTTTCCAACGAATGCAAAACCGTGGAAATCGGTTCGTGCGTTCTGGAGTTATAGCGTCAGGAAGGAAAACCCAACTTATTTTTTATAGTAGATTTATATTTACCTTGAGTTTAATAATATCCCGCTATTTGATTATGTCATCATTTCCGGGGAGAAGGCTGCCCCGAAAATGATAGTTCAATAATTGAAAATGTCCTGTGTTGACCCACTTTTTGTTTGCGTCATTATTTTCGGAATCAGTTTTTCCCGGATATGATGGCACAGTCAAACAGTTCCTAACATGGTCCTCGACACATTTGTGACACCGTGATGGCTCTAGTGTTATACTATAGCCTAAGTAGTGTGTAGTTTCAAGTGTGGGAGAGCCATGCTTCGGCATGAATGGGCCGGCTTGACCGGAGTGATACCACGGCCGAGCAGAAAACCGACCCCTTCCCCTTCCCCAATCTCCCCAATCCCTGAAAGCCCAACGATCCTCAAATTCCTAATCCCCAAAAGGCCGGTAACGCACTTGTAATGCCTCTGGTGTTCCAGGCGACGCCGATTGCTTGCCATCAGGTGATCCGTCTGCTCGTTTACCGGCTTTTGCCATAAAAAAAGTATTTTAGACTACTGCGATTCACATTTTCTCCTTATTTAAAATTACCATCATTTTTGGGCAATCACTTACCTCGGAAATGACGACCTCCCCCGGAAATGACTGTATAAATTAAATTTAATGTAATATTAAATTATAACACTGTATATGTACACTGTTACAGCTCCTAACAAATGTGAATGTGTCATGGTGTCAGTTGATCACTGAGAACGGAGTGGAGGCCCTCGCGCGCTCCTGCCCCCGACTGAAGACCTTTATATGCAGAGGTATGTGTGTTTGTCTGTGTATTTTGTCCAATATACACGAGGAATTTCTATTAGACAAAACGTTGACGCGGTGGCTGGGCAACTGGCTGCCATGCAATGTGTCGCGGGTTCGATTCCCGCACGGAACAACTCTTTGTGTGATCCACAGATCGTTGTTCCTGGTCTGTGTGTCATGTGTATGTGAACTTGTATGTTTGTAAACGCACCCACGGATCGGATCACCTGATGGTAAGCAATCGGAAGCGGCCCATGGACACCTGGAACAAACACTAGAGGTGTGTGTGTTACTGGCCTTTTGGGAATTGGGAATTTGAGAATTGTAGAGGATTTGAGGATTGGGGACACTGGGGACGGAGGTAATTGTGCCTCCAGTACCTCACTCACACGACGAAACACAACGCAAGCCTCGCTTCACGTCGGTCTTCTGCTCGGCCGTGGTATCACTCCGGTCGAGCCGGCCCATTCGTGCCGAAGTATGGCTCTCCTGCACTTTAATATCATATTCAATGTTCAAATTATGTAGTTCTCCAAAGCATTTTGATCTGTACCTTTGTCATACATAATGCCTTTGATTTGTAATTAACTTGAATTTAAACTCTAGACTTTTTCGATAATATAATACGTGATTTATATCATATACAATATCAATACGTACGTATATAATATCAATACGTGATTTATATCATATACAATATCAATACGTACGTATATAATATCAATACGTGATTTATATCATATACAATATCAATACGTACGTATATAATATCAATACGTGATTTATATCATATACAATATCAATACGTACGTATATAATATCAATACGTGATTTATATCATATACAATATCAATACGTACGTATATAATATCAATACGTGATTTATATCATATACAATATCAATACGTACGTATATAATATCAATACGTGATTTATATCATATACAATATCAATACGTACGTATATAATATCAATACGTGATTTATATCATATACAATATCAATACGTACGTATATAATATCAATACGTGATTTATATTTATATACGTGATAATATAATACGTGATTAAAATATAGTGATATTTATTTATTTATGTACACACATTCAACACAGAGGATAATACATAATAAAAAACAGAGTACATAGGCCCCACATATTCCAACTGGAATTTCTTCCTGTGGGCCTGTGGCAGGAAAAGAAATAACAATACAGAGACACATAGTGTGTTACACAAACAAGACAAAAATCAATTAATAAAAAAAAGTAATAAGACCGAAGAAACCAATAGAATTAACAATAATAAACAATAAAACAAATTAATATAATACAATTATAATACATATATAAATAAATACAGAAAAACAAATCTATATTTCAGGAGGAAAGATAATGTTCTCTCACTTGTCTCTTAAAGATAGAGAGAGACTTGGCGTCCCGAATGTTCGGCGGGAGCGAGTTCCATAGTCTCACTGCATGAACGGAGAAGGAGTAGGAGTAGAAGTCGGTATATAGTCGGTGATAGTGACGATATAAAACGCAAAATTTTAAAATAAATTACGTTTAAAAAACCGACTGACTGCGTCATTGACCAAGTGGTCGCAAGTGCGACTGCCAGACAAGGGGGCTCGGGTTCGATTCCTGTGTCTATTTAATTATAAGTTTGTAATCGCCAACCCGGTTTAAGCAAGCGTTGTGATTAATGCTCAAACCTTCTCCGTGTGAGAAGAGGCTTTTGGTCAGCAGTGGGCATTTATAGGCTGTTGATGATATGAATGAATATTTTCAACTTAATTTAAACAATTTCTTTACTTTCAGGTTGTAAGAACGTAAATGACAAATGCGTATCAACTCTGGCCACGTTCTGTCCCGAGCTACAGGCGCTCAACGTACAGGGGTGTGATGTGAGTATACCCATCTATTTCCTAACCTTATCCATTGGGTTAAGCATTTTAAGACCGAGTATTTTGCCTTATTGCCGTATATATGTATGCCGAGACTGCCTCGTTGGTCGAGTGGTCGCAAGTACGACTGCCGGGCAAGGGGTCTCGGGTTCGATTCCCGGGTCGGGCAAAATATTACTAAGTTTTTAAAAAAATCTCACTAGTAGCACGGAGTCTGGAATTGTGCCCGGTATATGGCAATAGGCTCACCCCCTATTACATGGGACTCATAACATAAACAGTGAAAAGTGGGTGTTACATTGTATAGCGATATAATGTGCACCTCTGCCTACCCCTTCGAGGATAAAAGGCGTGATGTTATGTTATATATTTTGCCGTATTGTGATGGTAGAGTATAATACAGCTGTACTTGCCGTGGGTGTCATATACCCGACTAAGTAACTATTTTTGATAGACTGGGCTATAGTAGTTTCTGTTAAATTTAAATATTTTACACTGCGATCTTCAAAATACTTGCCACGTTATGGTAAATCAGTAATGGAATTGTATTATAATATATTCAATGACCAGACCTGAACTTCGTACGTAACTTCGACCCAAAATTAGCCAAATCAGTTCAGGCGTCCTCGAGATTTAGCGAGACTAACGAACTGAAATTCATTTTTATTTATATAGTTTTATTATATTTATTAAGTATTGAATTTGACTGGTTTGCAAGTACACAATTGTCTTTCAGGATACTTCATTTATATTTATAGCCAATATTTATAAGTAAACTAGCTACTTCCGCGCGGTTTCACACGCTCTACTCAGCTAGTATTGGTCGTAGCGTGATGTTTTATAGCTTATAGCTATCGATAAATGCGCTATCCAACACAAAAAGAATTATTCAAATCAGACTTGTAGTTACGGAGATTAGCGCGTTCAAACAAACAAACAAAAAAACAAACTTCCGCTTTATATAATAGTACTAGCGACCCGCCCCGGCTTAGCACGGGTGCAATATGCATGCATTATACATATAAACCTTCCTTAAGAATCACTCCTTCTATTAAAAAACCCCCATAGCAGCGCCATCTATTGATTACTTACTCAACCCAGTCGAAAGGTATCGACATCTGTTAGAATCATTTGGAGTTAACAGATAATTGTGACTGTCAAATAATAACAGACAAATAATTAGCAATAAATTAAAATTGCGACTATAATTTGAGATTTAAACTATCCTATCTCTCAAGTTGGATCGAACTACACATGGTGTGCGACTTTTATTATAATCGGTTGTGTGGTTTAGGAGTCCATTGAGGACAAAAATTGTGACACGAGATTTATACAAGTGTAGTTTTGAAGCCGTGTCATTTCTCGGGGGTATGTCACAGAAATCATAAATGTTCAATGTAAGAGAAATTTTCGGGCCAATAGTTAAAAATACGGCTATAATAAATCGTTTAAGTTCGACAGTATTTCAGAAAAAGCGACAGCAATGTTTCCAATTGGAGTTTTATGGAATTAGGAATAATATCAATTACGTGTTTGAGTTTGTGTGTGTTATAAAGCTAGTTACAAGACGGCGGCGTGTAGTTCGCAATTACGAATTTCCGTAACTTACAAAAAAAATGGAAAAAATTACCTAAAATTTTTTTATTGATTCGGACTCAGAATCTATAGCCGAGTTATGTCCTAGAAAATGACACGGCTTTAAAACAACACCTTGTATAATAGTATAAGATACTAGCAAACCCGGCGAACTTCGTTTCGCCACCAGATGGCTTCGTTTTATGTAACATTTCGTTTGGTGATTAGAAGATGAAGAATATTTTTTTCTGAATTTTCTTTGCTATAAACCTCACGGAGCCCGAGACCTTTCCAACGAATGTGAAACCGTGGAAATCGGTTCGTGCGTTCTGGAGTTATAGCGTCAGGAAAGAAAACTCGACTTATTTTTATATATTAGATTAGAATAATGTTTCGTTCCCGGCAGCAACTGACAGACGAGTCAATAAGCAAGCTGGGCGCGGGCATGCGGCGCCTGTGCGTGTCGGGCTGCGGCCGCCTGACGGACGCGGCGCTGGCCGCGCTGGCGGCGCGCTGCCCCGACCTCGTCACCCTCGAGCTGGCGCAGTGCACGCAGCTCACTGACGCGGGCTTCCAGGCCTTGGCCAGGGTATGTATCTCATATATGTAAAGAAAAACCGCCTGACGGACGCGGCGCTGGCCGCGCTGGCGGCGCGCTGCCCGACCTCGTCACCCTCGAGCTGGCGCAGTGCACGCAGCTCACTGACGCGGGCTTCCAGGCCTTGGCCAGGGTATGTATCTCATATATGTAAAGAAAAACCGCCTGACGGACGCGGCGCTGGCCGCGCTGGCGGCGCGCTGCCCCGACCTCGTCACCCTCGAGCTGGCGCAGTGCACGCAGCTCATGACGCGGGCTTCCAGGCCTTGGCCAGGGTATGTATCTCATATATGTAAAGAAAAAACCGCCTGACGGACGCGGCGCTGGCCGCGCTGGCGGCGCGCTGCCCCGACCTCGTCACCCTCGAGCTGGCGCAGTGCACGCAGCTCACTGACGCGGGCTTCCAGGCCTTGGCCAGGGTATGTATCTCATATATGTAAAGAAAAACCGCCTGACGGACGCGGCGCTGGCCGCGCTGGCGGCGCGCTGCCCCGACCTCGTCACCCTCGAGCTGGCGCAGTGCACGCAGCTCACTGACGCGGGCTTCCAGGCCTTGGCCAGGGTATGTATCTCATATATGTAAAGAAAAACCGCCTGACGGACGCGGCGCTGGCCGCGCTGGCGGCGCGCTGCCCGACCTCGTCACCCTCGAGCTGGCGCAGTGCACGCAGCTCACTGACGCGGGCTTCCAGGCCTTGGCCAGGGTATGTATCTCATATATGTAAAGAAAAACCGCCTGACGGACGCGGCGCTGGCGGCGCGCTGCCCCGACCTCGTCACCCTCGAGCTGGCGCAGTGCACGCAGCTCACTGACGCGGGCTTCCAGGCCTTGGCCAGGGTATGTATCTCATATATGTAAAGAAAAACCGCCTGACGGACGCGGCGCTGGCCCGCTGGCGGCGCGCTGCCCCGACCTCGTCACCCTCGAGCTGGCGCAGTGCACGCAGCTCACTGACGCGGGCTTCCAGGCCTTGGCCAGGGTATGTATCTCATATATGTAAAGAAAAACCGCCTGACGGACGCGGCGCTGGCCGCGCTGGCGGCGCGCTGCCCCGACCTCGTCACCCTCGAGCTGGCGCAGTGCACGCAGCTCACTGACGCGGGCTTCCAGGCCTTGGCCAGGGTATGTATCTCATATATGTAAAGAAAAACCGCCTGACGGACGCGGCGCTGGCCGCGCTGGCGGCGCGCTGCCCCGACCTCGTCACCCTCGAGCTGGCGCAGTGCACGCAGCTCACTGACGCGGGCTTCCAGGCCTTGGCCAGGGTATGTATCTCATATATGTAAAGAAAAACCGCCTGACGGACGCGGCGCTGGCCCGCGCTGGCGGCGCGCTGCCCCGACCTCGTCACCCTCGAGCTGGCGCAGTGCACGCAGCTCACTGACGCGGGCTTCCAGGCCTTGGCCAGGGTATGTATCTCATATATGTAAAGAAAAACCGCCTGACGGACGCGGCGCTGGCCGCGCTGGCGGCGCGCTGCCCCGACCTCGTCACCCTCGAGCTGGCGCAGTGCACGCAGCTCACTGACGCGGGCTTCCAGGCCTTGGCCAGGGTATGTATCTCATATATGTAAAGAAAAACCGCCTGACGGACGCGGCGCTGGCCGCGCTGGCGGCGCGCTGCCCCGACCTCGTCACCCTCGAGCTGGCGCAGTGCACGCAGCTCACTGACGCGGGCTTCCAGGCCTTGGCCAGGGTATGTATCTCATATATGTAAAGAAAAACCGCCTGACGGACGCGGCGCTGGCCGCGCTGGCGGCGCGCTGCCCCGACCTCGTCACCCTCGAGCTGGCGCAGTGCACGCAGCTCACTGACGCGGGCTTCCAGGCCTTGGCCAGGGTATGTATCTCATATATGTAAAGAAAACCGCCTGACGGACGCGGCGCTGGCCGCGCTGGCGGCGCGCTGCCCCGACTCGTCACCCTCGAGCTGGCGCAGTGCACGCAGCTCACTGACGCGGGCTTCCAGGCCTTGGCCAGGGTATGTATCTCATATATGTAAAGAAAAACCGCCTGACGGACGCGGCGCTGGCCGCGCTGGCGGCGCGCTGCCCCGACCTCGTCACCCTCGAGCTGGCGCAGTGCACGCAGCTCACTGACGCGGGCTTCCAGGCCTTGGCCAGGGTATGTAATCTCATATATGTAAAGAAAAACCGCCTGACGGACGCGGCGCTGGCCGCGCTGGCGGCGCGCTGCCCCGACCTCGTCACCCTCGAGCTGGCGCAGTGCACGCAGCTCACTGACGCGGCTTCCAGGCCTTGGCCAGGGTATGTATCTCTATATGTAAAGAAAAACCGCCTGACGGACGCGGCGCTGGCCGCGCTGGCGGCGCGCTGCCCCGGCCTCGTCACCCTCGAGCTGGCGCAGTGCACGCAGCTCACTGACGCGGGCTTCCAGGCCTTGGCCAGGGTATGTATCTCATATATGTAAAGAAAAACCGCCTGACGGACGCGGCGCTGGCCGCGCTGGCGGCGCGCTGCCCCGACCTCGTCACCCTCGAGCTGGCGCAGTGCACGCAGCTCACTGACGCGGGGCTTCCAGGCCTTGGCCAGGGTATGTATCTCATATATGTAAAGAAAAACCGCCTGACGGACGCGGCGCTGGCCGCGCTGGCGGCGCGCTGCCCGACCTCGTCACCCTCGAGCTGGCGCAGTGCACGCAGCTCACTGACGCGGGCTTCCAGGCCTTGGCCAGGGTATGTATCTCATATATGTAAAGAAAAACCGCCTGACGGACGCGGCGCTGGCCGCGCTGGCGGCGCGCTGCCCCGACCTCGTCACCCTCGAGCTGGCGCAGTGCACGCAGCTCACTGACGCGGGCTTCCAGGCCTTGGCCAGGGTATGTATCTCATATATGTAAAGAAAAACCGCCTGACGGACGCGGCGCTGGCCGCGCTGGCGGCGCGCTGCCCCGACCTCGTCACCCTCGAGCTGGCGCAGTGCACGCAGCTCACTGACGCGGGCTTCCAGGCCTTGGCCAGGGTATGTATCTCATATATGTAAAGAAAAACCGCCTGACGGACGCGGCGCTGGCCGCGCTGGCGGCGCGCTGCCCCGACCTCGTCACCCTCGAGCTGGCGCAGTGCACGCAGCTCACTGACGCGGGCTTCCAGGCCTTGGCCAGGGTATGTATCTCATATATGTAAAGAAAAACCGCCTGACGGACGCGGCGCTGGCCGCGCTGGCGGCGCGCTGCCCCGACCTCGTCACCCTCGAGCTGGCGCAGTGCACGCAGCTCACTGACGCGGGCTTCCAGGCCTTGGCCAGGGTATGTATCTCATATATGTAAAGAAAAACCGCCTGACGGACGCGGCGCTGGCCGCGCTGGCGGCGCGCTGCCCCGACCTCGTCACCCTCGAGCTGGCGCAGTGCACGCAGCTCACTGACGCGGCTTCCAGGCCTTGGCCAGGGTAGTATCTCATATATGTAAAGAAAAACCGCCTGACGGACGCGGCGCTGGCCGCGCTGGCGGCGCGCTGCCCCGACCTCGTCACCCTCGAGCTGGCGCAGTGCACGCAGCTCACTGACGCGGGCTTCCAGGCCTTGGCCAGGGTATGTATCTATATGTAAAGAAAAACCGCCTGACGGACGCGGCGCTGGCCGCGCTGGCGGCGCGCTGCCCCGACCTCGTCACCCTCGAGCTGGCGCAGTGCACGCAGCTCACTGACGCGGGCTTCCAGGCCTTGGCCAGGGTATGTATCTCATATATGTAAAGAAAAACCGCCTGACGGACGCGGCGCTGGCCGCGCTGGCGGCGCGCTGCCCCGACCTCGTCACCCTCGAGCTGGCGCAGTGCACGCAGCTCACTGACGCGGGCTTCCAGGCCTTGCCAGGGATGTATCTCATATATGTAAAGAAAAACCGCCTGACGGACGCGGCGCTGGCCGCGCTGGCGGCGCGCTGCCCCGACCTCGTCACCCTCGAGCTGGCGCAGTGCACGCAGCTCACTGACGGGGCTTCCAGGCCTTGGCCAGGGTATGTATCTCATATATGTAAAGAAAAACCGCCTGACGGACGCGGCGCTGGCCGCGCTGGCGGCGCGCTGCCCCGACCTCGTCACCTCGAGCTGGCGCAGTGCACGCAGCTCACTGACGCGGGCTTCCAGGCCTTGGCCAGGGTATGTATCTCATATATGTAAAGAAAAACCGCCTGACGGACGCGGCGCTGGCCGCGCTGGCGGCGCGCTGCCCCGACCTCGTCACCCTCGAGCTGGCGCAGTGCACGCAGCTCACTGACGCGGGCTTCCAGGCCTTGGCCAGGGTATGTATCTCATATATGTAAAGAAAAACCGCCTGACGGACGCGGCGCTGGCCGCGCTGGCGGCGCGCTGCCCCGACCTCGTCACCCTCGAGCTGGCGCAGTGCACGCAGCTCACTGACGCGGGCTTCCAGGCCTTGGCCAGGGTATGTCTCTCATATATGTAAAGAAAAACCGCCTGACGGACGCGGCGCTGGCCGCGCTGGCGGCGCGCTGCCCCGACCTCGTCACCCTCGAGCTGGCGCAGTGCACGCAGCTCACTGACGCGGGCTTCCAGGCCTTGGCCAGGGTATGTATCTCATATATGTAAAGAAAAACCGCCTGACGGACGCGGCGCTGGCCGCGCTGGCGGCGCGCTGCCCGACCTCGTCACCCTCGAGCTGGCGCAGTGCACGCAGCTCACTGACGCGGGCTTCCAGGCCTTGGCCAGGGTATGTATCTCATATATGTAAAGAAAAACCGCCTGACGGACGCGGCGCTGGCCGCGCTGGCGGCGCGCTGCCCGACCTCGTCACCCTCGAGCTGGCGCAGTGCACGCAGCTCACTGACGCGGGCTTCCAGGCCTTGGCCAGGGTATGTATCTCATATATGTAAAGAAAAACCGCCTGACGGACGCGGCGCTGGCCGCGCTGGCGGCGCGCTGCCCCGACCTCGTCACCCTCGAGCTGGCGCAGTGCACGCAGCTCACTGACGCGGGCTTCCAGGCCTTGGCCAGGGTATGTATCTCATATATGTAAAGAAAAACCGCCTGACGGACGCGGCGCTGGCCGCGCTGGCGGCGCGCTGCCCCGACCTCGTCACCCTCGAGCTGGCGCAGTGCACGCAGCTCACTGACGCGGGCTTCCAGGCCTTGGCCAGGGTATGTATCTCATATATGTAAAGAAAAACCGCCTGACGGACGCGGCGCTGGCCGCGCTGGCGGCGCGCTGCCCCGACCTCGTCACCCTCGAGCTGGCGCAGTGCACGCAGCTCACTGACGCGGGCTTCCAGGCCTTGGCCAGGGTATGTATCTCATATATGTAAAGAAAAACCGCCTGACGGACGCGGCGCTGGCCGCGCTGGCGGCGCGCTGCCCCGACCTCGTCACCCTCGAGCTGGCGCAGTGCACGCAGCTCACTGACGCGGGCTTCCAGGCCTTGGCCAGGGTATGTATCTCATATATGTAAAGAAAAACCGCCTGACGGACGCGGCGCTGGCCGCGCTGGCGGCGCGCTGCCCCGACCTCGTCACCCTCGAGCTGGCGCAGTGCACGCAGCTCACTGACGCGGGCTTCCAGGCCTTGGCCAGGGTATGTATCTCATATATGTAAAGAAAAACCGCCTGACGGACGCGGCGCTGGCCGCGCTGGCGGCGCGCTGCCCCGACCTCGTCACCCTCGAGCTGGCGCAGTGCACGCAGCTCACTGACGCGGGCTTCCAGGCCTTGGCCAGGGTATGTATCTCATATATGTAAAGAAAAACCGCCTGACGGACGCGGCGCTGGCCGCGCTGGCGGCGCGCTGCCCCGACCTCGTCACCCTCGAGCTGGCGCAGTGCACGCAGCTCACTGACGCGGGCTTCCAGGCCTTGGCCAGGGTATGTATCTCATATATGTAAAGAAAAAACCGCCTGACGGACGCGGCGCTGGCCGCGCTGGCGGCGCGCTGCCCCGACCTCGTCACCCTCGAGCTGGCGCAGTGCACGCAGCTCACTGACGCGGGCTTCCAGGCCTTGGCCAGGGTATGTATCTCATATATGTAAAGAAAAAACCGCCTGACGGACGCGGCGCTGGCCGCGCTGGCGGCGCGCTGCCCCGACCTCGTCACCTCGAGCTGGCGCAGTGCACGCAGCTCACTGACGCGGGCTTCCAGGCCTTGGCCAGGGTATGTATCTCATATATGTAAAGAAAAACCGCCTGACGGACGCGGCGCTGGCCGCGCTGGCGGCGCGCTGCCCCGACCTCGTCACCCTCGAGCTGGCGCAGTGCACGCAGCTCACTGACGCGGGGCTTCCAGGCCTTGGCCAGGGTATGTATCTCATATATGTAAAGAAAAACCGCCTGACGGACGCGCGGCTGGCCGCGCTGGCGGCGCGCTGCCCCGACCTCGTCACCCTCGAGCTGGCGCAGTGCACGCAGCTCACTGACGCGGGC